CAAGGAAGAAGGATGTCATCGCATCAGTGAAGGCTGGTATCGCGGAAAAGTTCCGGATCAAGGACCTCGGACGCGCAACATTCATTCTGGGGATCGAGATCGACTACAAGATGGAGGACAAGACGCTTAGCATCAATCAGCGAGCGTACGCCCAGTCCATCATTAAGAAGTTCGGACAGGAGAACGCGAAGCCGTGTCTCTCCCCACTGGAACCTGGTGTGCAATTGACCAAGGCGGACGAGCCACAGTCGGAAGACGACAAGATCAAGATGAAGTTGAAGCCTTATCGATCGCTTGTGGGAAGCCTGATGTACCTGGCATGCGGGACGCGACCTGATATCGCCGTTGCTGTCGCAAAGTTGAGTCGTTTTCTTGAGAACCCCGGTCAGAAGCACTGGGACGCTGGCATCAGAGTTGTGAGGTACCTGTTGAAGACCCAGGATCTCGGCATCACTTACAATGAACTACTTGGGATGCAACTTGAAGCCTACTCGGATGCAGATTGGGCCGGTAACCGTGACGACAGACGTTCAGTCAGCGGTATGATGCTGATGCTCTGTGGTGCTCCGGTGGTATGGCGTTCGGTATTCCAGAAGACCGTTGCGCTGAGTTCGACCGAAGCTGAGTACATGGCACTAAGTGAGTGTGTTAAAGAGATTGCGTGGATGCGACTACTACTGAAGGACATTGGGGCGGAGCAAGACGGACCTACGAAGATTTACGAAGACAATCAAGGAGCGATGGCGTTGGCGAAGAACATCGGCTACCAAGCTTGCACCAAGCATATCGACATCCGATACCACTTTATTCGAGAGAAGATTTCAAGTGGTGACGTGGAACTCAAGTATATCGAGTCCAAGAACCAACTCGCGGATTTCCTAACCAAGGGACTGTCGACGAAGACTCTTCGCTACCTACTCGAGTGCAGCAACATCACGGGTTTGCTCGAGTAGACTGCGAATTGAGTGGGGGTGTTGTGATTATACATTTCGCAGCCTATCTGCCGAGGATACCTACCGCGAAGCACGTGCTTGCTGTTACGTTGTTGAAGGTGCGTGGACCTTCGTACACATGGTGGAATCTCGTGATATGATTGGACGACTCCCCAAGATCCGTATTTCTGATTGGCTGAGAGCGGTAAGTTGAAGTTGCAACTCTGCACTGTATATCTTTAGGAACCCCGTTAGAACTTAAAGGATTTAGGTGTTCATACTTTGTGGGATTGTACTTAGGACACAGAGAGAGACTTCTGTCAAGACGGTTTAGCCTAATTCAATCTCAATCACTTTCGGATTTACTTCTTTCTGCTCACATCGACCTCAAGCCTCATTCGCATACCTTCAATTGTTTGAAACCGGTGATAAATCTCAATACGACAGATTGGGCTACTCATTACTGAATCGAGCAGCAAAGACTATCGTCACCGTTCATTCGAAGCTTACCAGACGCGCGAGTTGTTCGTGCTGAGAAGACCTTGACTTGAACTTGCGGCTGGAGCTTGACTACTACATGCTCACAATTTAGGAGCTGGAACTCTCGTACAAACCTAACGTGCGTTGCGGGCAGTTGCTTCTTAGTTGCGGAATGTAAAAGTGATATTCCGAACATATTTTGCGGACGCTCGCGTAAGACTCTTGGGTGGCGCATCGATAGACGTCTGTACAAATAAAGTTATTAAATCCGACTGAGGGCAGCTCGTGCATTTCTCTTCCTTCCCCTGCTATATCAGAATGTGCTCACGCTAGCTCTATGATGCTTGTCTAGATATCCGCAAGCATGTTTTCATACGCTCTTAGTTGTTGGGGTCTTATTTGATAGGGGCCTACGGATGTCGCCTACAAGAAGTTTGACATATTTTGACAGAGTCGTGCCTTCGGCCCTGAAAATCAGGCTACATAATAGTGACTGCATTTCAGTGCTTACAAAACCGACGAATTCGGGGAGCCATTTGATTGGTTATAAATGTCACCTTGTGGTAGTTTCCGCTTTGCTGGGAATGCTGGTATGCTATTGCTTGCAAGTTTAAAAGTGAGCTTGCTTCTGACTAACTCCTGCTTCTGCGTTCTACTCGACTGTTCCTACTCCTATCAGGGCCACAGGTTTCACCCTGGGCACAGCCTTGAGAGTCGAGCACCAGGGTTGCAGTAAACCTGCAACTTCTCGTTGATAGACGACGCTACAGTTTGGGGTGGGGTTCTTGATTCAGGATAGCCTCCTTGCCGTTAAGGAGAGACTCCTTGCTGTGCCACACACTACACACCTCACATGATATTCACAAGCTAGGTATAAAACAAAACAAATAATACTTTCTGGACGTCCCAGTATCAAATAATAAGTAGCACGCAAAGTTTCTTAGCACAATTGTACAATTCACCAGCAACTACCGAATCGATTCCGCTATGCTTGCAATAAATATTTTTCAATTTTTTTTGTCTACCGTTTTGCTGTCGAAAGCTGGATTATTTTTGCTCAATTTAGTACACTATGGTCGTGCGCGAGCGCTCGGAGGATATACAAAATATAGTATTGTGCTTTGCACATGTTTTGCCCTCTATTGTAGACTTGTAAAACAGACCCAATGGTATCTGCAAATCAGAGTTTTAGAGGTGATCGTGGGGTTATTATCTGACGCAAGCACGCACTAAAATACCAGTAAATTGTGCCTTCTAAAAATAATTATGCTGTCACGTGGTTTTCCCGTCGCACAGTTCATTTTAGAAAACGTTTTTGCCACTGGAGGTAAGACGTTCTGCTACGGATTTTAAGTAGTGACTCTAATTGATATCTCTCTGTGCGTGGTCCGTCAGCATGTAGATTAAAATGAGGAACGTGGTAACGCGACCAGAAAGGAACTTGCCTCAACAGCAACGAGCGCAGCGTTGCATTGGTATGCGACCACGTACTGTAAGCTCTACTTGAGACTTCTTGCGCTAACGGGTTTTTCTACAGATCTGCGTTATATCCCAGGAGCAGCTCAACTATTTTACATCGTCGTTCCAACTGCGGATCCTGCTTGAGTACGTTTGTCGATTGAGCTCGTAGCGATGCCGTTCGTATCTCTTATAATGTGATGTACTTGTATCGCGACCCTAACTGTGCTATTATGTGCCCAACCATAGCGACGGTAAGCATGGCGGCCATCCTTTGACGTCTCATCAATAAACATTAGCTGTTGAGGATTCGAATAAACTGCATGAAGTTTTGCTTTGTAGTTGGCAACCTATTAAATCAAAGCAAATAAACAAAACATGTTTAGTAAATAAACGCAGTGTAAAGATTTAAAAGAAAATCTTACCTCGAGAGGAACGCTTTCTCTTGCTGCCCGAGTGAATACTTTACGAGTGAGACCCAAATCAAAATGGAGAGCGCGGCAAATTGTAGACAGTGAAATATTCTTCACGTCTGGATAGTTATCACGAAGAAAGTCTTGAAGCTCCTCCAAATAAAACGTTGGATGGCCTTTTACGTAGTTTTCAACAGCTTGTAACACTGCTTGTGACCACCGTGCCGTTTTTGACGGCGGTTTGTCCTCTTGTACGACTCCTTTCTCCAGAAATAAGCTGTACCAGCGAAATATTGTTCTCGGTTTCGGACCAAATATATCACTAATAAAGTCAACGTCAAGTCCGTACACATGCATTAGCGAGATTGCACGCCACCGATAGTCAGCTCCATAGGTCATGGTGATGAGCGCCTTGACTGACTGTTTGACAGAGAGTTGAGAAGTGATACCTTAAGTGGAAGAACAGTGGAGAGTATAAGTCGCCTGGGAGAGACGACAGCTCTGAATTGCACTGTTGCAGTTGCATTTCTGACTCTTGTGCTTCTAATTCTGTCCGTAGTCTCTAAAATTCTGGATGTGTATCACTGAAAACAGAGTTGTAGTTGTAATCAAAAGTCATAAAACCGATTTACGATTTAAAATAGAGATTTTATAAGAAATATACCCCTCTTTTGCCAATACATGTGCAAAGCACAATAATTGTCTGGTTGTCTGGAACTGTGCAAATCACTGTAACACAATTATTAGCAATAACTTATTACAAGTATTGATTAGTCTCCCTCGAATCTAAAGGTCGAGATTAGAGAACGAGTTTCCCAAATCACGCGGATAGCGTCGTCAAGTTTCTTGTTGGAATGAAGCGAAGATTTTTCATGCCGAGCGCGATCAGCTAGTTCTTGGTGAAGTGATAGCTCAACCACCAGCTACAAAAAGATCGATCACGAGTGACAAAGTCAGTAGTCGGTCCTCACGCTAAAACGTTTGAGCTGGATCCCGTCCAAATGTGTTTTAGTTTAGAGGTTTCAGTTCGACGGTGCACTTGTCCCTAGCACAATGGGCCAATTTAATTGCGCCTATGCACAAAATAATACCAAAATCTAAATATTCATTGAGGGCATCCGCTGGATGCGCTATGTATGATATTAATACTGCAAGTGTGTTCCAGTGGTGTATCCTTGCCCTAACGTTATGCGTTCACCACCGGCGACGGAAGCTGCGAGCGTTGATTGATGTGGACGATATAGTCCATCCTTATTAACCACTGTCCAACAGACGCGCTTAGCTGCAGCAGCAATGGTAAGGAGTGGCTGACCTGGTGACACCAATCAGCTCACTTCATGCCAACATCAATGGCAGCCAACTCTGGTCACCGATGGGTACGAAAGCACTCTTGATAACCAGGTTGCCAGAGGTCCAAGTGAATCCGTTGATTCCCTTTCACGTTGCCCTCGTTGCTGACACCACCAAGAAAGAACTGTGTGTCTTACATTTCTTGCTCTCCAATATTGTTATTAATAGGCTGTCTCAACCCGTCTTGCTGCTCAATTCTCAATCTGCCAGCTTCAGCACAAGCCGGCAGACTATGGCAACAATCATACGTCTGTTTGGAAGGTGTCGGTATCTGTTCTCATACACGCTGGTGAAGTGTCCAATTACTAAGTTGAGCATCATCAGAGAGTACTTAATTTATACCCCGAAAAATAAGCGAAAACACAGCTCTTTATACCTTGCGAATAATCTTTTGAAGTGGTCTATTCGACTCAACATCTACGTCAAATAGAGCCTATCAAGCCGGTAATTAAGTAGTAAGCATTAGATAAGTATAACGTGTCATTCTTAAACTATGATGACGTAGAAAATAGCTACATTCACGATTATAGCACTTTCGCGAAAGTGTTGGCAAATGTTCACTTTTAGTCGCATAAAAAAAAGGACAAGTGTCAAACAACTCAAGACTGCAGTTGAGTTTCTCCCGAACCCCGGCAACATGCTGATAACAGTACCTATCACGTGGCTATTTTCCCCTGTGTACCATTGGGACGTGTGCAATTAGCTTCACGACGCTTTCTTCTGTCCCGTTACGATAGTGTTGAAGTTACCTGGTCGAACAGTAGACCATCTCTCGGACAGCAATAAGCTTGACGTCGCCCCAATGCGAACTCTTTTCTCTAATCTCATGAAAAATTTCTGGTGATAACGGCAGCTTCGTCTTGTGAATTCTGCAGTGAGCCCAGCGTTGCATCACGACAATCGACCGTTCTTCTTCAACTCCTTCGGCGTTTTTACCCTTCTTCACATGAGACCGAACCTGCGTCACGACGGTTGCATCTTGCCGTATACGCTCGTCGGGAAGATACGGATACAGATCATCCTGGTCCACAAAATCCTCCGTAAAAATCCCCACTGGCCCGCCATCGCCGTACTCGTCGTCTGCCTCTCTGAACTCTGAGCAGATAATACTGTTCATCTCAAGTAACGGGCCGCTAGTCAAGTACGACACAAAGCGGCATTGCGCAATCCCCGGCTCGGAGCTCCCGTCGTCTTCTCGAATAGTAATATCTCCTAGACTCTCTGTGACACGGATTTCCATATTGGAAAAATAGTAATTGAGAGCGTCAAACACAGTTTTGACGGAGCTGACGCCTTCGAACGGCACGACGTCGTAGATCTGGCCGCAGTAGCAGCCATTCTGCTCTACGAATCGCGTAGAGTAGGAGAATGCACTAGTGTCGTCTACATATCGTCCTCTTTCCTTTAAGTAATACTGCGCTGCTTGTAGTTTGAGTGGCTTCATCTCCATCAGCGTCTTCCAGCGCGCTTCGAGGTCAGTTCCAAGACGAATACTCGACGCGTGTGGGGCTCCAGGCTCTGTCATCTATTTCAATAGAATATTAGTACTGGTAAAGTACAGACAAACATTCCTTGTGGCACGTACCGTCATTCTGGAGAGAGCGGACTGGACATTTACAAGTGAGGCTTGCTGCTGTAGTACGGCCTGGCGGATGACGCTTGCTTCGAGTAAATCCTGCTCCAGTTCGGAGCGTATAGCGGACGTATGTGCATTCTTCTGCAACGCAGCAATTTGAGCTTGCAACGTTTTCACCTCTTCTTCCAGTTCTTCGATTTCCTCCTGTGGCATCGGTTAAATGTTAAGGTTCTAGATGGCGTGTAGCGTTTGTGTCAGCGTGCTGTGCACCTTGCGTCGAGTTACGGTGGCCTTCCGCCTGCGTCGCGGAGTTGGCTTCGCTGTGTTACAATCAGATGCGCAGGAAGCGCCGGCGTTCGCTGCCCCAGTCGACGTCATTGCTAAGTGACAGAGTTGTTTTTTCAGTCAAAGAAAAAACGCTTTCTCGAGAAAAAAAAGCGTTTCCGATGTTTAATTCAAGCCAAAGTGCACGAAAACACGTCTATCTTGCTTTTTTTTTTTAAAAAAAAGAACGATGACGGAGGGTTTTATTTACTGGGTTTTATACGCATAACACCCACCAGGTAGTGGATAACACCCAGATGTTTTGGTGGTCGCAACCCTAATAACTTAGTGCCAAAAACTCGTCGGTACGCATGCTGATTGGCTCGGATGGCAATCAGACGAAAAAAACCCATTAAAAATTTAATGGTTTTTTTTCGTCTGAATGCCATCCAACGGCAAAGCGACATTTTCATCGAAAGTTCTACAAGCGCGGTCATCGACTGTAATTAACCTTGCAAATCAGCGGCGATGATACCCTTGTAATGGTACAGCTCTAGACAGTGATTCCCCC